CCTCCGCAGGACCCGCTGACGGGCACAGCACTGCCCCGCATCCGCCAGCGGAGCCGCAGAGGAGATCGACTAAGCCTGAAGTTGAGTTCTGCTGTCCAGAGCTCACCCCCACTGCTGAGAGCAGAAACACATTTATTCTCACCCAGTTTGCTTCGGGTGATGCTGCCCCTTTGAACACCCTGTATTACCCATGCTGTGGGCACTGCCACCCAGCAAAGCTGTTTGCAGAACTGTGTCACGCATCTTCAGCTCAAGTGACGAACAAACAGGATCAAAGTGACACGCGCTGCTTTGATCCTGATCCGTATGCACAAGCGGGATACTTGTACGTGGGAAAGCCAGCGCAGGCACAGGGAAGCGCATACGTAAACATGACTAATGCTCGGAAGTAACCAGTCAGATGAGTTACTGGTGCCCGTAAAGTCACTGATAAAGAACTCCTGTTTATTTAGTGATTTAGCAACACAAGGATGCCACCAGTGACGCTCGCCATGCAGAGTGACACTCATATCCAGCCCGAGAGTTGAGCTTTACAGCTGTACCTAATTTGCAAATAAAAATTGTGCTGCAAAGCTATTTTGGCACTTGAGCAGTTCTATTTTTACTTTTGCCTTTTTTCCTGTAGTAAAACTGGCCAAGGATATTATCACAAATAGAAGAATTACTATTATGTGACTATTTCATTTCCGGGATAATAAAATACAGCACTGAATATCTACTGTCTCAGAAAACGAGGCTAGAAATTTTCATAAACAAAACTTAGGAAATGATTCTGTTCAAGATTCATGAAAATCCTGCTCTTCCTAGCTGTATCATTTTGAAAACAAATTTGTATAGAAAAAATCACTTTAAATCAAAATTTCTATTGGACTAAAGTGACCAGGCAAAGATCTCAGCACTGCTGTTTGGTGATGAACATGGGCATCTAAAGACAAGACTTGTCTGCCAGCAGGCTGCCTGTGACGCATCCCCATGCTCTGTGCGTTAGGCAAAGCTCCGCTGCCAGAACTAAGGAAATTAATTGGTGAAAAATACCACTGAAAGCGCAGTATTCACATGGCTAAACTGCTGAAGTCAGAAGCGGTCCCCAAATGAAAACAGAGAGAGAAGACTTGGATCACTGATACCAGTGTCTGCCTTCACCTCCCTCCTAGGCGCCCTGGCTCTGGACTCAGGCCCAAGCTGGACGCCCAGGGCTACAAGGTGTGAACCGCTATCATCTCCGGTTGGTCAAAGTGACACTTCTACAAGTGCTCATGTGTTTGGTGACAGAATTTGGCTTAGTTTCAGAAATACGAACAAAAGCAAGGCTAAAAATACTAGCAAGCCCAAAGTGTGGCTGCTTTAGTTTCAAAATATACATTAGAAGTGGTTTTTGTTTGGTTGTGTGAAGATTTTGGAAATGCATTTTTTTTCCATATCATTAGAAGAGTAAAGTGGTAATCTGTAACACAGGGTCCATCTTTATTGGTTGTGCATCAGGCATTCCTGAGTAGATATAAATAAAATATGACATACTAAATAACCCGATGAAATCCCCTTGTTAGTGCTGAGGAATATAATTCATTTTAATTAGAAACCTAGTGACATTTCAGAAGAAAATTGGATATTTCCCCACTTTTAAGGTTAAAAGTAGTATGCCCAGAAATCATGAAACTGAGCTTAAAGAATTCTTCACTGTAAGACTAAAACTCTTATGGCATGTTAGGTTCCTTAAATGATTATTTCTAAATGCCTTACTCAGTAACTATGTCACATTTTATTTTTACACCAAAGCACTGAAAAATTCATGTGTATTCATTTGCAGTGTCTCATCTTGCAATACTATATATGGCAAGACTAATTGCATAGCTTGAAATTCTGCTTTAACCATTTGTTACCTTGGAAAAGACACCATAAGCAAGGTCCTCTCCTTTGGCATGCCAGCACTTACAAATTCCCGTAGGAACCAGAAAAATGCAGCCCCCTTCAATTTCAGTTTGGCAGAGGCAACATCTCATATTGGAGGCGTTCAGTAATTAAAAAGTCATATTTAAACATAAGCACTTCTGTCTTAACGCCTCCAAGCAGCCTGATGGTTGGAGACACTACAGATTTTGAACAGCATTTTGAAGGATCTAGCAACACCTACACTACACATGGGGCTGCAACACTTCATGCAGGAGCTCTAGTCCACACAGATAATTGAAAAAGGGTCTATAAAGCCACAGACTTTTAAAGTGGCATTTAAAATCTTGTTCTTCTCTCTGTCACACTCAAGTAGTCACAGAATCACAGAATGGTTGAGGTTGGAAGGGACCTCCAGAGATCATCCAGTCCAACCTTCCTGCTCCAGCAGGGACACCCAGAGCACGGGGCACAGGGTGGCATTCAGGTGGGTTTGGAAGACCTCCAGAGAAGGAGACTCCACAACCTCCCTGGGCAGCCTGTGCCAGGGCTCTGGTACCCTCACAGTAGAGAAGAATTAAAATATTAAACTTAACTATATTGTCTTAGGAAAAAAAAAGTAAGTTGAAGGGTCTCATTGATGTTTTTCTAGTTTGCTACCTTGCTATTTTCTGTTACATAGCATATCTGCATTTGCAGGTGAAATCTAAACAATATTTCTTTCTTCCATCAACTTTGCATGGCTTCGCCATTCTTGAAGCATTTCTTCATCTCTGAAAAAGTTAATTTATAGCAAAACTTGAAGCTATATTTTAAGAAGTGAATGTTAGTATGCTGATTTGCACATTTAGCCATCCGTAGGTTAACAAAAGATGACATATATCAGACATTTACATTGATACTCCAATTGTTCTTTGTTTCTGTCCTAAGTTACAAGGTACTTCTACTTGACCTACTGTTGTCTGATATATACCTGGAATCATTCTGTTCCTTCAATTTCACTGTCTTTTTCTAAGTATTTGTCCTGTCTAATAATGCCAATGGGTGTAGTCAGTAGCAAGCGTATTGATTCCTGAAGAATAAAGCAAACACATGCATGTGGTGGGAAAACGTGCAGGAATAAAACAATGTACAGTTCCTTGGCAAACTTGTTCAATACACTCCTATATACATGTGTGTGTGTCTGTGTATATATATAGGAGTATTTTTTTTAACTGTAGAAGCTTCACATTTTACATGTTGTATGCATAGTTCTTTGCTCTCCAGCTGTAGATTTCTGTCAGCAGAGATACAGTAGCTGCATTTAACCTTGGACCATAATATATGAGTTATCTGAAAGGGATTTCTGCTCTATTCAGTTAGAGCAGGAACTGAGTTCCACATCAGAGTTCTGCAATTAGAAATCTGGCATCTCACCTTGTTGCCTTGGAGCATCCCATGTTGTAAAGAAAAATACTCTTTGTATCTCCACTTATAGCACAATTTTTAAAAATGATTTCTTTTCTTATAAATAGTAATCTGGCCAATCTGGCCAGCTAAGTAACAATTTTAAAAAATGGACCATAATACTTGCTTTTTCCTTTGTTCAAATAAAGCTTGTTCCTTTTTCAGCTCCTTTGCTGCCACCACCGTGTGCACTTCAGCTTGCTTGCTCTGAATCATCAGTCATAGGAGAGAAATTTGGGAAGCCTGTCTCTGTGCAGACATGCTCCTTTTGAAATGAACAGGTTGATAATATTAACTAAATAATACATAGAAAACTGAGCACATGTAAGGATGCCGATAAACACATTCAAAGTGCAAACTTATAACTATTAACCTGACTTAACTGAGAGTTGTTAATGTCAAAGACCGTGGACCATGTACACAGTGCCTAGTGCAGACAGCAGAGACCGGTGAGGAGAGGAAGCTTTCAGAGGAGAGTTCAGATGGAGGCGCCGAGCCAAGGCAGGCTGCCGGGTTCGGGTTCTTTCCACGCAGGAAAAACTGGCAGACAGTGACGGCCACGTCCTGGAGAGGACACTCGGTCACACTCCTCAGCCAAGCCTCGGGATTGGGAGGTTTCCCCTGCCCTCTCCGTGCCAGTGCAGCACAGGGCTTTGCGACCACCCAGCAGAGAGGGCGGAGGGAGGCAGCAACGGGGAGGAGCACAGAGAAGGAAAGGAAAAACACAGAAATGCAAAAATTATCTTCCTAATTTTGTTCTAAATATGAAATTTAATGAAAAGGGCCAACATTTAAAAGTTCATCTAGCTTTAGTTCATTTAAAACTAGCATTGGGAAACAATGGAAAAACACAGCAGTAATCATTTTCCTCAATATTGGAGGAAAATCATTGACATCAGGGTAAACAATGAAAAGAGTTATGAAAAAAAATCAAATTTGGCAAATTTCCAATTCTTTCCCGTTTACACACACACAAAAAAACCCCACCTGCCTTTTCAAGAAAGGATTCACTACCAAATTCTCCTAAAAGTGGCTTGAATTATTTGAATACAGTGCAAAAAAAGGATTTATCAAATGTTTTGTATTCAAATGCAAAGGAATTTATGTATTATCTTCCATTTAAACATAGTTATCAGCCATGCAACATATACTAGAAATGAATAATTTGTCTCCATTACTAAATTCTATTGATTTTCAGTATAATGTGATCTGTAAATTCTTTCAAGGACAGAATTACGAAAATAAGAATGGAAAGGAAGTAAACAGGAAAATATAAAAGACTGATAGCGGTTTTTAATTTTGGACAAACCATATTTTTGACTTTTGCTTTCTATATACTTCATCATAAATATAGTTTATCTATCAAATTTGTATTTGACCATAAGTGGAATGCCTCTTACTAAAATGCTTTTATATTTTCCATTAGAAATACAGAGGGGTTTTTTTTCCAGTAGTTGTAAGATTATATGTCATTACATGCAACTTAAAGTCACCTGCAAAGATGAGCTGACTTTGAGTAGATCTGTTCTCTCATTCTGTGTTTTTTCCCCACTTCAGTAAAATCACAAAGTACAACAAAATATTGGTTGGCAAGAAATTATTCTTTCTCATGTTTTATAATCTCTTTTTTCAGCTTTTGGAATCTTAGCTTTTCCTCTTTATCAGGCCATTCGTCTGATAAATCCAAACTGGAGTGCAACAATTCAGTTAGGTTCAGCTTTTCAATAGCTGGCATTTCTATTGGAATTAAAAAGAGATTACTGCAATTCTATTTATCAGTTACATCAGAAACTTTTTCTAAGCAAAACAGTATTTTGCGGCAAAATCAGTCTAGCAGACGTGGCATTTGTTGGTCTGTTTTCTTTTAATGCATATTGTATTCGCAAAGATTTTTCATAATGTTTTAAGCAATCTATTCTGACAAAACTCAATAGTCAGAAATAATGTCAGAAATAATGCTGCTAATTCCCAAACAAAACTCACTTCACATAGTATCATAAAGAGGGATCAACTGTAGTTAATTCTAAATTGCTGATGCTGAATATACAAAATGACTACTGAAAACAATACAGATTAGTCTTACACAGATAAAAGCTGGATAATCTACTTTCGTAGTTCAGACATATTTAAAATAAAGCCTCAAAAGCCTTTCAACTGAATAGTGTATTCCTAATACCAGGGGCAGGATTTTATTTGGAACTGCTTAGCTGGATCTCTCTAGGATGGGCCTTTTCTTGCATTCGGGGTTTTCTCTCTTTAACATAGAGACATGTTTTCACTACTAGACTTTTCCTTTAGGTAACAATTAAAAATCTTACTTTTACTTAACAATTAAGAGATAAATACGTTTTTAATGGTAAAGAGGAAAAGCAGAGTAAGACTCTGCACTCTACTGCACAGGTATTTTGCCTCTGTTTCGCATAATGTATTTGCCAACTACAACTCCACTTGAAAACTACAGAAAGCTCAGTTTATTGGACTAAAGAAACCCAAAATATTTCAACCATGAAAAAGATTACTTATAGACAAATGCTGTCAAAGCCTCTAAAAGGCATTTTTTGAGTAGCTGTGATGGTCATTATTTCTTGTTTGAAATTAATGGTAATTGTTTGGTGTTTTATTCCCATTCCTCCATGTTTTTTCCCTGTTGCAACTCTAAACACTTTTTGATACAAATATTAATTAAACATCTATATTTCACATTAGGCCTATGTTAAGAAAAAAACATAGGCTTCTACTGTATTGAGCACAAATTAAATGAACCTTTTTTCATTTTAGTGCTCCTTGCAACTAGCCTGATGCAGCAGGGAACATGACAGATGCTCATGTGGAAGGTGCAGCAAAGAAATTCAATGAAGAGTGTATATTTTTATTTTTTAAATGCTAGTATTTTATGAAAATGACTAATGAAGCTCATCTGCTTCCACAGGCCATTGATTCCCCTGCTAAAAAGAAAAGAACTCTTTGATTTTCTTTCTCAGTGTTTAGCAATGGCCTGTGCTGCTCCTTGCAGCATAAGCAGTTCTGTGAAATACAGAACTTGAAGCTTCTGTTCCCGCGCTAACCTTAGACTTGGCTTTTAAAAAGGCAGATACGTATCTGGAAGAGCAATCCTGCATCCCAAAGGGCCTGAATCGCTGGTACCTTGCTGGAAGCTGTGCCAGCTTCACACAAGCAGCGCTGCTGCCGTGTTTCGGGGCAGGCACCAGGAACACCCGGTGCAGGCAGCTGCTCGCGACACGTCCATGCACTGTCCTCCCAGTTAACCTCATGCCCGACCTGCCGTCATTCTTCTGAACCAGCACAAACCTTTCTTGAGGAGACCCCGGGGGCAGGGGGAGGCTAACAAAGTCTGCACTCTGACACCAGCTTTACTTTGCTCTCCAAAGACAGTTTAACTCACTACCCACTGAGCTACCCGAGTTCCCTAACATGGTGTATGACTGCCTGGAGAGTACATAAAAAACAGCACCCTGCAGATATAAAAGCCAAAGTATTTCATACATGGACAATAAAGACGATATCAAAACCTAGGACCTCATTTAAGAGCTTGGTGACTTAAAATGTAAGTAAGTGCATTTCTGTGCATGTTACATTTTTGCTAAAATAGAAAAGAAAAAAAAAACACTGCAATCGTCAAGCCCTGCCAAGGCATATAAATAAAGGCAATGAAGTGTGTGCCCGGGAAAAGCGCACTAGCCGCTCGTGATTCACACCTGGCGGTGGGATGTGCTGACGTCCAGGGCCCGCGAGGGCAAGTCACAAACACAGCGGGGAGACGATTTGTTTCACAGCAAGAGTTAAAAAGCAAGTCTTAAAGCAAAGAGATGACTAATCATGTGAACTTCTGGAAATATGCTTAACACAATTATATCACACAACAATCGTGGTATTAAGTCAATAAAAATACACACATTTTATTTATAAATCTGTATTTTGCCTTCATTTTCAGTATCATGGTATTTCAAATTCATGCTTTTATACTTCACCATATGGCTTAGCATTTTAAGTGGTTCATTCATCCTCTGGATTTACTGTGTTCCCTTTAATGATGCCACATTTTAACATGCCTAATTCCCATCTGATATTAATGGCATCCATAGTAATTAGGCTTCATTATAGGAAAGCTTAAGTATGAAAAGAGGTCTTCAGTGGGAATATGCCCATTTTTTTTCCCATTATTAATGACTTCTGGAATCTATCTGACCATAAATAATGCAAATATTACATCTTTTCATCTCTACTGATAACTTTAAATTTTACCCTCCTTATATAAATTTATAACTCTAATATTGAGGGAAAAAAAATAGGCAAATCGGTAATCAGTAGAAAAAGCACAAAGTGCTTATCTTTGAAGAGTGTGAGCTCAAATACAATAAGAAAATATAGAAAATAGTATCAGGCTTCTGATGTGTGGGTGTACAAAATCAATTACTTTGTAAAATTAATTCTGGTCGATATGCTACACTAAGTAGGTCTTTATCTAAAATTGCATATAAATGTAATAATCTTGTCCTTCCCCGCTCCCTTGTGAAACACAGGCAGGAAAAGGATTGTTCCCACAGATATTCCCATGTTTTCCTGCAGCCGAGCCGTAGACGGGGCCAGAAGCAGCTTCACGCTGCTGCTGGCAGTTCGGTCACACTTAGTATTTGCAGTACAATTGAAAAAAGACTGCGCCCTGACACAGGAGCAACATGGACCTGCCTAGAGCTGAACTTACTCTCTCCCTCTAAGCTAGGCACTGGGTTTCCTTTTTTTCAGTCTTATGCTAATTACACATTCTATTCAGTTCCCTATTATCTCAATGGCCCCTATATCCAATTTCTTATAAAATATAATCTACTTATGTACTATTCCTCGCCATTCTTCTTAAGCCGCCTGCATACGCTTGAGGGATTTTTCATCTTACTGAAACTGCCCGGCCCTCTTCATGCATCCTTCTCTCCTCCCCACTCTGAAGAGCTGCCTTTACTAAGAATGGTCCTGTTTCTCTGATCACATCACACACCACTGAGACTCTTTAATAGTATTATACAAACCACAACCTCTCCTTCTCTTAAGGATTTAAAACATACAAATTGCTTTACTGATAACTGAGCAATATTTTCTGCATCTACTTGAGCAGTCAGTATCCATTTCAGATACAGACTTGATGGCACTAGTGAAAAAGCTAGAAGAGAAAGCATTCCTCGGTTCACACTTTTTTCCAAAACAAATGAAATATATACAAAGACACATGCCACATACCTGCATGAGTGGGCTCTACACAGAATTTTCCAGTCCCAGAATTTCTAAGAAAGCACAAGATGGATTTTAATCCCTTCTGTAGGACATCCTTGGGTGGAAATTCCAGGGGACAGTGTCTCAGATTCAAGGCTGTCAAGGAAGTCAGGTTTCCTGTGAGAAATGAATCAATTTTGAGAATGTTTTGAAAGATGAGAGCATTCACAGATGTATAGAGCTGTTGAGTCATAAAAGTGAATGACTTGTGTTTATGGTGATTACAATGACTTCTATAGTGATTGACATAATTACATATGCAGATACTGGGTACTGCTGTATTTATTTGGCCAAGCCTAACGTTTTTTTAAAGAATGACTGATACTCTTAAACATGCATAGTATTCTCAGTCTGTAATATCTAAGATCATTACCTAGCTCCTGATGGGCTGTATTTCTCATTTCAAAATCTCAGGCTATTCGAGATGCTAATACGGACTATCCTGAGATACATTTAAATGTTTATTTTCTCTTTGAAAGTAACTGCTAAGTACTTTAACCTTGCTCTGTAGGACTGTGCACAAGCGCTGAGGCTTCTGTGCACAAAAAGTTCAAAGAAAGTTCAGAGCAGTTCCACACTACATGCAAACAGAGACGGACATGCCAAAGTGTTTCTTCACTTCAGTTACCTTTAGCAAAAACTATCATCTTCTCTTCCAAGAAGTTATGTTTTCTCTCAAGGTAGGAAAGAATCTCTGAACTGAAACACAAAGGCAACATCCATCCTGTAAACCAGTTTTCTCCCCATTCAAGACAAGATGGGCTTTGTCGCAACAGCTGGGCTGAACAGCCCGCTCCTCTGGTGGCTGTGCTGGTGCTCCTCCACTCACGTGGGAATGGGATCTGCGGTGTTGATAGGTCACCCTGTGCCAGTTTCCTTCATACCAAATGAAAAGAACTAAAGTTTTCCTCCCTACGTTGCTAGCGCTGTGATTTTCCCGAGCTGGAATGAGCCCGTCGCGGAGCAGCGCGGCTCGTCCTGCCCGCGGGCGCTCAGACCCGTCCCCTGCACCAGCGCGGGCGCAACAGCTCGCACGCTTGGCGAGAGCAGGGCCCGCAGCACCAGCCTCCCTCCTCTCTCCACGAGCCGCGTGCTCTGCGGAAACGGCAAAGCACATGCAGTCCCTTTCGGAAATTAGATCTACTTTCTTCCCCAGTAAATTGGGCTTTATTGAAATGAAATAAAATTAGAAATTTTGCCTCATAAGTAGATTTGTAGAATGAAATAATACTTTCTCAGCTTTTTAATAAAAAGGTAGTAATTTTTTTCTGTGGATCAAAACATTCAGAATCATAATCTATTATTAAATCTTTCAAAATATAAATCTTAAAAAAACCAATCTGCTATCAGTGTTTGGCTATGACATTTATTTTTAATTGTATAATTTAAATTATTTAGGAAGTGCATCCTTGACTAGATTCAGTTTTTCAGTGATGTTCTCAATCAGAATAAGTTTTTCACCTTATATTGGTAGTATCACACTTCAAAACTCCATGCACAGCTTGACCGCAGCTATCAGCTTAACTTTTCCCTCTTTGCAGGGGCTTGGGGCTTGCAACAGCGGGCAGCTTTGCCTTCTGCTTTGCTCACTACGGTGTAAAGCAGCACATTTGGTTTTTGGTTTTTTTTTTTTTTTTTTTTTGCCTAAGCTTACTTGCAGGAATGACAAATCCATTACTAACAGCACAGGTATTTGATTTTAAATTACCAGTAATTAAAGCTGAAAGGAATGTTGTAACATAATTCTTACAGTGACATTAACAACTGCATTTGACATTAGTTCTCTGGAAATGTCAGCTATAGCAATATTGACAACAAAGTGCACTTAACAGAAAGACAACATAAAACCCGGCATGGAAATAGCTGAATAAAATGAGCACTTGAGGTAGGTGCTAGGGGGAACACAAGAGATCCTTCCAAACATCAGAATGGAGAGAACGGTTGGATCCTTCTCAGTCCCTTTCAGTCCCAGGCTGTAAGATTGAGATCCAAGTGCAAATGGATTCTCTGCATCGACAGTAAGTACAGCCTATTATATATAAAAACACCGCAAATAACAGGGAATATTGAACCCTCTTCTGCCGTAGACGGCAGAGTTATCCCAGTGTCAGTGAACCTGAGAACAAAGGCACCCAGGGGAAGTATTTCCGTTCAACTAGATTCTGATTTCTTCATAGTTTACCTGGGCTTTCGATCAGCCACTGAGTCAGGAGTTCACTGGTAACTTCTTAGCAGTAGAGGAAAAAATATGTTTTGCCATCCCAACACCAATATAAAAGTAACTGTATTGAAAATTGAGGCAAATTCAATTCAGATCCCGGTAAAAAATATATAAATTTATTTTGCCCCAGACTGTAGTTAGAATTCTCAATTTTAAATCGAAATTATTATTTTGAATTCTGATAAATTCAAACTCAAACTGAGAAGTGATAAAAACAAGAACTGTGTCTGAATCATTACTTTGAAATTGCACTCACATTGAAACAGGACTGATGTCGAGACACTGGAACTGAACAGGAACGGGATGGGAATAAATTCCTGTTTGGAAATCCCGGGCAGACATCTTGGTGGGAATCCAAGCGCGGCACAGGGCGGCTGCCGCAGTGACGCCGGGTGACACGCTGGCCCTTGGTGCCCGCAGGGGCAGCGCGGCGTCCCGGAGGCAGGACAGCTCCGGGGGGAGCCCTCGGGGAGGAGCCGAGGCCCCGCACATCGCTGGAGCGGTGCAGACACACTGGCCAAGAAGGAGAACAGGCCCATTGGAGGGATCGCTTGACCACAGACTAAAGGTACGAGAGACCTGCACGCTGCATACGGTAATTATGTGAGAGCAACACAGGTGCGTAGAACAGAAAATCTGTGTTCAATGCACAGAGACTAAATAGCTGTTGTGCAATTACTGCTGTTGGTTGTGTGAAGGGATATATCCCTGGAGTTCCCATCCAAGGGGATTCTGTCAGGCAGACAAACAGGCCCATCACTCTATTCAACAATATTGACTTTCAATTGCTTTCAATATGGCATTGATTACCAGGAAAGAGAAAGCTCAGAGGTCTGCTAAACACACCACATTCCAACAGGCTAAAACCCCCAAATTTGCTAAATGAGCTGCAACTATGAAAATGCCTTTTCATACAGTCACGATTCACAAATTAGGAAATTACTTCAAACAATCATAAAACACACTGTAGACCCAAAAGAGCTACAATATCATCAAAAAGAAATGGCTTTGAAAGTGTACCTCGTAAAGAACTAGTTGGGAATGCAATTAACTTTAAAGTAGTTTAGTCCTAAGAAATTAAGTCTATTTTTAAGCAGAAATGACCATACTGCTCCAGCTGCACTCACACAAGTGACACTGAACGCTCAGGACTGAAACACTACTCATCATTATTACAGCTTTTCTCTCAGTCCAAGGAACACAACCATTTTAATACTGCAATACAACTATTTTTTCCTCTTAAAGTAGATGTTCACAGTAAGTTAAGAACAATCTTTCTTTGGATAAATATTGAAGTATTCCAAAGCTTAACTACAGAATTATTAAGAACCAATATACAAAAAAGATACATTCAAAAAAAGGAGTACTCACCAAGTTCTGCAGGGAGCTCTTTTATAGGATTTCTTTCTAGAAGTAGAGTTTTTAATTGCCTGTGCAATAAAAAATAAAATAGTAGCAACTGTAAGAACAAAGTTAATATAAACACAGGAACATTTTTTCTCTTTAATTTTTTCTTCCTTTCGCTTCCTAATACAGAATGGACCCCTCAAGGCAAATCCACGCCAGTCCCTTGCTACCACAAGTGCTAGAAATGACTAAGCGTGCCCCAAAGCTTCCTGGCATGACACTGGTGTTTGCATTTACACCCTCTATATATTACTCCAATATTCAGCATCTATCTGTTTTCTGCAAAGCTTGTTTACCACTGTATTACCGCTGGTATAACTGCTAGACTGTTCCAATTACAAACATGTTGTTTTCAATTGTTTTTTAAAATATTGCTGAACTACGACTGTTTGGGGTGTTGAGTGTGTTCCTTGGGCTAATTTTGAGCTAAAACTGCTCAGCCATTTTTGATAATGAGATTAGAAATAAAGTTTTTCTATCTATAATTAATTTTGTCTTTTTGTTTTTGAGAAGCTCTAGTGTTCCCATTCTTGAAAATAGTCTAGAAATTTAGCATGGGTCAGGCATTTATGTTGCATTTATATTTTTTGATATCTCTATGAAAATCTGCTAACATTTGGACAAATTCTAATCCCAAATGTTTGAAACACTATAGTTTGCCTGTGCTCAGAAAACAATTTGTATTCTTTAGCAAATAAAATTTCCAGACTTGCTGTAGAGAGTATACGCACTCAGATGTACAGGCTGCCTCTGATCATTTAAGTATTTAGGACATTTCATGCACAAAGAAAGTCTCCTCTTTTCCCCCTCACAGCACCTACCTGCTTATCTCCAGACACAGCAGGGAAGCAAACTAACAAATTCAGATAGAAATAGGAAGGAAACAATAAATAAAAATAAAAGCCCATTTCATACCACTCCTCAAGATGATTAAAAATGTGAAGGTCTGGGAATAAAATTTAACAAAGCTTGGTAATATAAGACAAAGAATTAGTTGAGTAACTGGAAAAGGAAACATATGTCAACAAAGCATAATGTATATGAGAACAGGGACCACTGATTAAATAGAGGACATCCAGAACAAACTAAAAAACAAACAAACAAACAAACAAATAAACAAAAAACCCCCAAGCCAGTACCTACATTGGAAGCTAGAAATAGAATCAGAGACTATATACTACACAGAAACCTGTACTTTGAGTTCTCTGGGATTTTTTTTTTCTTTTTTTTTTTTTGAATGCTTTTTTTTTGCAGTTTTAATCACAGTCTTTTAAACAGTTTTTAATATCCACCAATTTATCAGATCAAATTATGGATTAGGATATATGAATTTGATATCTTAAATGCACTGTCCATATATATAAAATCTCAACCTACTGTAAATGAAAACTCATTCACTTTTCTAAATGTTGCCCTTTTTTTAAGCTTGTTTACTGTTAAAATTCAACAAAATAAGCAAAAACAAACCTTACTAGTTTCTGTCATAATATTTCTTTACCTCTAGAAAAAAACAAACAGAAAACAAACATTTTGGCAGCTGTTCAACTCTGGATGAACATTTGTGGTGATATTTGAAGACATTTCAATTCAATCAAGAAATTTAAGCACCATATCCTTAATCATATGCTTTATTAAACAGGAAAAGGTAGGCGAGAACGCCAAGGGATTGCCCCCTCCAAAATCCAATTCCTTGTTAATTCCCGAGCGCCCCTGGGAAGGGGAGGTCTCCGTGGCCTCAGGATCCCTCCAGAGCTGGGCCCAGGCTCCATGGTAAGGATGAAGTGAAATTACCCTGATTTTGAGCAACTGAGTCAATTAGCAGTTCTGACATGCACTTTCTAAGAAGTGAGCTGTTGACTGAAGTGAAGGGACAAAAACACACAAAATAAAGTGCACATCTGCCTAGGGAGCAGAGCAGCACGGGGGATTCCGGAGGCGGGAGCACCCAGGGGCGCCCCTGCCGCAGGTTCCCCTTGCTCCGCGTGCAGCGGAGCCAGCGCAGCTCTCACGCTAACCCCTCCACAAACCCTGCGTCCCATGGAAAACATCCGCGAGGAAAGTGCATCAGGCCTGGACAATCTAAAATAACTGACAAAATGTAGTTGAAAGATACAAAAACAACATTAAATTTGACATTTTCAACTATTTTCACAGGCTTAATGTTACTTTTGTATGTTTTTGTAATCAAATGTTAGAAATCCAATGTTTGATAAATCCCGTAGAACAAATGATTTTACAATACTGTGAAGCACCTTGTGCTCACCACAGAATGCCATGAAACAGTTCTGGAAGATCCTGTAGCACACACTGCTCAAGGGCTGTCCCTGCTGCTCGCTGCCCACCCTTCATGGAAATCCATCTTCTACAACCCTAAATGTGAGCTAACTTTCCTCGGCGTTGGGCCGTTCTCCACCCACTAATAAATTCAGTTCTCTGTTCCTGTTAATTAACATGTATTATGATCTGTTGTCTTCCACTTTCTCAGTGAGATGCAAGGAATTGTTCAAGGGTATTAAAAAAAAATGGTGAGGAGTTAATTTCATGATCACTGCAAAATGAGATCAAATGTGCTTTTTAGGTTCACTGGGACACATGTTACACAGATTGGTGACTGCTAATTAATTCTTCCTACAGTTATTAGTATGTCAGACAACCACCAAAACGATTAATGAATAATATTCTTTGATCAACTCAACTATCACTCATTGTCAGGCGGGAGGCTGGGCACTTAGGGTCCCAATTTTCACCATCTTTATGATGCTATAAATGGAATCAGTTAAATACTTAGATGTAAAGAGTAGCAGGTATGAGATTCCTAAAGGAAGATGAGTTTAGATGAATAACACGGATTATGCTAGTTATATGAGTTTTAATTTAGTTAAATACATGTAAAAAAAAAAAGGTTAATTACTGTTCCCCTGAGCAGGGGTGAATGCCAAACAAAAGCATACAAATGTCTGACTGCTACAATGAAATTGTAGTAATGCAAATTGAAGGAAAATACAATTGTTATTAAATTATCAGCATAACCAGCCTCCTACCTGTGGTGGCCAACTCCGGGGGGAATAGTTTTAATCTTGTTGTACCGGAGATCCAGCCAAACAAGACGTGGCAGCTTTTGAAATAAATCCTTGGGAATCACCGATACGACATTTCCTTCCAGATGAAAGTGGTAATAGAGAAAAACATACATAAGTTTTAAAGCCAGCAGCAGACAGACTGTTCCTGGCAGGCAAAATGCTAAATGTAAAAACTGAAGCTGCTCTACGCTTTTATGAAAAGAACATTGCTGAAGGGAACACCATTCTGTAAATGACACATCTAGTGATTTAATTAATCAGGACGTTTTCAGAAAGCAGGGATTCAGAATCATAGCTAAGAGCCTTATTTTTTGCCTGACAAAGCAATGACCCCTGCGTGCTTTGTGCTGCTCCCGGCCAAGGCTCCCGGAGCCACTCGTCACTGCTGCCCACCTTCACGTGGGGCAGCCTGTGTATCTCCTGGGTGAGAGGCGGGATGTTTTTCCTGCTGACATCCAGGTATGTGAGGAAGATGACAGACATGTCTCAGCAGCCTTCCTGACCCCTTCTGATGAATTCGCACCAGGTGAATTGCTCTTTTCGAGATATCCATCTTCTGAATTACGGCCGCGGCCATGGAACCCTTCAGCAGAGCTGTCACCCTTCGCCAGCAAGCCTGAAGGACTGGCTTGGTAAATCACCCCATCAGCTGAAAGCCAGGCACGAGCTCAGAAAAACCACCCCAAAACACAGTGCAGAAAGAACAAGCATCTATCAAACCAGTTTACTTGGCATTGTTAATTTGCAGGTTGCCCCTGGTGCTATGCAACATTTTGTAAGATGGGAGCAACGCCCTTATTGGGAATTCTGCGGGTGCTGGTAGGTGCAGCAGCGGGAGAGGCCGTTCCCCTGCACATTTCCGCACCGGGAAGCGCACGGGCGCACATCAGCAAGCACTAATGCTAACACGCTCCCTCCCGAAGCCCGACCCGGACCAGCCTCTGGCTGACGCCTCCGTCCCCTTCCCGTCACACTCGTGTCCTGCCCAGGCACCTGGCACGGGGCCTGGGGCCACAGCAGGGCCAGGGGAGCACAGCACGCTCCGAGGGCGCTGTGGGCCGCGGCTGCCCCGCTCTCCTCGGCACCAGGAGTGCTGGTTTGGGCTCCCTGGCCCCTCTCGCGAATCACCCAGGTCAGCTGGAAAACGCTTGGATGTTTGTAACTGCAAAGGGGCACCTGAAAACGTGGAGAAAAGGAAAAAAGCGCAGTGCGGCGCGGCGGAGCGGAGCGGAGCGGAGCCCCGAGGCGCCTCCCGAGGCACGGGCACCCACCGGGCCGCCCGCAGTGCCCGGCCCGAGGCGCCCACGGCCGCCGCC